TAGAATGGCTAGTTGGACATTTATTGGAAAATGACATCATTTGTTTACTTTTGAACATCGGCAAAAATCAAACATTTCCCCTAATTTGAGCTCCATTTCCTGGTTCTTTTCTTAGCAAAACCAATCAAAATCACCTCTATTTCTATCATATGTTTTCCATTCTATCAAATGAAACCAAGAAAACAAGACTACAACCATAAATACTATACAAAAATACACCACAAAGTCGGCATTTTAATTAAAAAAAGGTCAGTCTTTTTTTCTCATTATGCACTGCGTGCTGCAGGATTTTGTTTATATAGTGCACACTGACCACACAGACCCATTCTCTCACATGTGGGCCTACCAGCTTTCTCCTGCTTGATTTGAAGCCACTAGAATTTATGAGTATATATATACATAAAAAATGGTGGCTCATAAGATGTATATATACGACCAAAACAGTCAAAGGGTTAATAGAGCCCTTCCAGCAGTCCAAACAGATGCATAACTTTCTTTTCTATGAATGAAGGTGGAGGAGGAGGGTTAGGGATGGATAGGTGAAGCCTGCTACTGTAAGCTGGAGAAGTGAAACTACCATCTGTTTAACATTGGCAAGAAAGACTTCCAGAAATATATACCTGTTCCCATTTGCCAGTGCTGCATAACTGAACTGGGGGTAACAGCTATCTGCCCAGGGTATAAACCCCCTGGGTAAGTTGAACCTATCAAGGGTAAATCAAGCATGGGTGACTGGAGCTCGGCTTCTTTACCACCTACAGATGGATGTTTAGGGCTGCCATAGAGATGGTGCCTGTTTACACCGTCAGGCTGTCCAGCTTCTGTCAATTCACCATGACAGATTGGACATAACATTTTGGTATCTTCCACAGAAAATGCATTAAAGAACATAAAAGTCATTCCAGACCTGAGCAGTGCAGAACTTTGTAATGGGTATGGAGTAACTTTCTCTTACAAGACAACTGTTATATATAACAATGTTGTATAAGAACATAAGAATGGAGGATCACTGCAGCAAGTCTATGGCCCATACTTGTCAAATCCTCAAATGCAACTCTTTTCACTTACATATTTGTCTAACCTAATCCTAAAGTTACCTTACCTGAGGAATTAGTGTCAGTAACCCTAATAACCCATGCTAGGTAGGTCTTACTCAAATCCATCCCTTTTCACTGGTGTATTTGTTTAACCTATTTTTAAAGCTACTGAAGGTTTTAGTTTTAATAACCCTACTTTGTAGAATATTCTGCTCATTGACAACTATTTTTAAAACAATGTTTTCTTGTAACCTTTTTAAATCTAAATTTATTCAACTTAAATCTAGTGTTATAAGTTCTCTCTTGAGTGGATATTCTTAGTACTTTATATTGCCTTTATTTATGCCCATCTTCTATTTGTATATTTCAGTCATGTCTCCTCTCATTCTGTGTCTTTCTTTCAAGAAAGTGTAAGTTCAGAGCTCTGTTTGTGTTTTTATGAAAGATTTCTTAAATGGTGGATTAATTTTGTCATCTCTGTATATTCTCCAGTGCATTTATTTCCATTCTGTAGTATGGAACTGAGAAGAAGAAGAGTAAATTAGGACCAGACACTGTTCATATTCCAGGGCAAACATTTGTATCATATGGTGAGTGATAGAAGAGGAGAGGCTTCTCATCTTATGGCATGGGCTGCTTGGTCCTCCATTCCTTGGAAAGCAAGTTTCAGAAGATTTTCTCGTTGGTATACTTGGAGGAAATTGACCACAGACAGCATAATTCCATCTTGTGCCTCCTTCCAGCACTGTACAATACCTTCCATGGATGTGAATGGTATGGTGATACTGATAACATATGGAAAGAAGGCACAAATGTACAGTTCAGGACATTTCTTAAAGGAAACATTTTTGTCACAAGTGGCACTTCTTTAAGTAGGACTGAAGAAGTCAATTATGGAGAAATGTTTCCTTTAATAAATGTCCTGAACTATACATTTGTGTCTTTTTTTCCATGCAGTACCATCTATGTATCAAAGAAGGTGATATTAAAAAGTCACCTGTGCATCCTGGAAAGATGACCTATTGAGGGGCCATGAACCTTAGATGCCTGCCTTTCTAAGGTCTTCATGCAGTCATTCATATTTTTTGGATGGGCAAGGAAATGAACATCATCATCACCTCTATAGAATTGACAAATAAGTTTCCCTCGTTTCAGGGTCACCACCAGCATACTCATGTTTTCTGGCCTAGTAACTGAGTCTGTAAGAGGAGTATAGTTAGGCTCATCTGTTGTAACAGTGTGCCCCCTTTTGTTTTTGCTTTCAGTTCTAGAAGTGGCACCTGTTAAGGTTCTAGTACCCCTTTTAACAGCCACCACTTCCCTGGCTGCAGGTTAGCAGGTAAAGCACACTGCCTATCCTACAGAGGAGATAGAATCTGATTCACATAGTGTTCAAGGCCATTCTCTACCAGTGTGACAAGAACAGCAATTAGCAAAAATAGGCTAACTGATGAGGGGTAAACAAGATACAACTGGTGACAGGGAGGACTACAGATGAAGCTTCACACTTCTCTTGAGACTGAAATGAGGTTCAGTCTACAAAGACATTTTGAAGTGGACAACCTCACCTCACTGTGTCTGCACTGCAGTCAAATCATTGTCTTTAAGATTTCTTTTTTTTTTTCCTCCAGCAATTTTCATAAGTTGGTAAAAACAGAAGAGTTGTGGATTTCAAATGTTGACAGTGTTCTTTAGCTGTGTATTTGGTATCCCTGTTTTTCATCAGATCATATTACAACACCTCCTGTATCTCTCCATCCAGTAAGATATTTTAATGTGCAAATTACAGACGGATCGTAGAGTACTGTAATTTTGTTGTATACCTCAAGATATCTCTAATCAACATTCTGTGGAATGTATTTCAAGTGCTTTGGGAGTATTTTGCTTGTTTAGATGATTTACTATGTGAGCCATGAAAGGTGTGCACATTTTCTAGCTCAGATATCTTGTCTGCCTTGAAAGAAATGTAAACATAAAACTGTATTTTAGACTAGAAATAAGATCCCTGAAAAATGCCATTGTTGGTGTGACATTATTTGTTTTGTATGTTCTCATAATTCTATATATTTTTCCAGTGGAAGTATCTGTTGCTGTGTGGTCTTAACATTTGGTCATTTGATTTAATTTTTTCCTCAGTTCCGTGTAAGGATCAGACTTAGGTTCAAACTCATGGTAAACTAGTCCTAAAACTTGAAGACTTGTGCATTAACTGAAGTTCCTTGCCAGCCTAATAAGATTCATCCAACTAAGTGTATTTCTGTACACTTAATTTAGGCTGTCATGGTATAGTGTTTAACACACTGGCCTACCAGTTTTAGGACTAGCTTGCCATGAGTTCACATCCCATCCATTATGCAAGTTATTTACAATCATGTTATTGTGATAACTTGTCTTTTGATTTTACTGTGGTGGTCTTTTAGTGTGAAACATGATCTTTCAGCTGTAAAATGGTGTTGACTTGGGTTATAAAGTTCATTCCTGATTATAAAACTGGTAAGTTGATTTCTTACACCCTTTCAGACTTTTTATGATTGTGAAGTTAATGTAATCGACCTGTGGTTTACAAATGCTCTGCTTTGTGAAGTGGGGTTGTGGCAATTGTATTAGTTGGTTTATTTCGCAGAAATTCTGTTCGTGGTATTATGAGTGCTTAATAGATAATGTTGCCTGTTAACGTTTACAATATCGTCTACAAGACCTGGTATAAATGTTTTGATACTTTATAAATAATAAGAGGAAGTTGTGAAAGGAATTATCACAATAGTATTTAAGGTTTTGAAAATAAAAATCAATTTAAAAAAAAAAAACAATGTGGTTCACTGTAAAGCTATTTATCCTGAGCCTAGCATTTTGCAGGGATGTGTATCCTTTTACCTCAGTGGGATTATTTTTGTTTGATATGAGCATACATTTTCTTTAAAAGTACAGTATATACATCTAAGAAGGGAAGGGAAACAGTAGCATAGCCAGTAATAAGATCTTGACAAGACGTTTTGAATGGAAACCTAACCATATCTTGCTATTTCTTAGTCTGCATTTACAGCAGAAACTTTCATAGAGTGTGATAGAAATAAATAAGGGTGTAATGCAAGTATAATAATTTATTAGCCAAGATAATGATGATAATGATGTGAATAATAATAATAAATTTATACAAAGAAGGTAAAATTTATAGGGGACTACACAGTGGAAAATTTGAGTTTCAGGGAGTGTTTTGAATTGAGATGAGTTATGAATAGTTCAACCAAGTGCACTTTAATATTAATAGACTTTATAGTTTTAGGACCAGCTACCTAAGAATTTGTTGTGGTAGTTTTGGCAAATGGCCAGTTAACATTATCATGTCCATCATTATCGTTTCTTTATTCAGAACTGTCAGTGTTCAGTGACAGAGGCAAGGAAGGATCTATGGGGAGTGTTCTGTGATCTAAACTTTATATTGTTCCATTACCAACATCACTGAGATGCTTGTCATTGTTGCACAGAATATCCCATATCATACCATCCTGTTGTCTGGTCTGTGATGCAGTTTCTTGTCCCTCTTGTCTGGCTTTGCGTGTGTGTTAATCAGTCTGATGTGTGTATTTTAATGGAGGCATGACAGCCATGGCCAGGTTTTTGTTTATCTCTGCCCTTACTTTGTGTATGGGTAGTTCATGATAGTTAATAATGTCTGCTACCTTGATAATTTTTTTTTTTTTTTTTTTTTTTTTTTTTGAAAAGTTTTATATTTTTATTGCTTCCGTTGACATCACTGTACTGTAAATGTAACTTCATAAAATTCGAGAAATTTTTTATAAAGAAAATAATTTTGTTTGCTGTACACAAAATTTAATGAATGAAGGCTAATGGTTTTGCTATAAAAAAAAGTTATGTTCCCCTTTTAGTAATAATTGTTTGTGTAGTTATCTTGTGCAGCAAATATTGTTAAACTGGAATTTTTAACATATGAAACGTTTGCAGGTCCTCCAGGGATGAACCCCAGAATGGCAGGGCCTCGAGGACCAGCTATGGGTCCAGGTCCTGGTATGGGTCCCATGGGTCCAGGAGCATATGCACCAGGGATGAGAGGACCTCCACCAAGTAGTATGGGTCCTGGTGGACCTGGGGGTCCAGGAGGCCCAGGACCAGGGGGACCAGGACCAGGCATGCCACCAATGAGCATGGGAGGGCCTGGTCCTAGACAACCATGGACACCAAATACATCTACCGTCAGTAGTTGCAGTGTTTTTGTGCATTCCCATTGATATAGTAGAATTGTTTTACCTTTAGGAAAAAATATTTATTCATGAATGAGGATTGAACATTGTTATGAGAGTTTCTCAGAATAGATATGTAGTTGGGAAATAGTATGGTCCATATTTCAGTTAATGTATATGATTGTATGGCATCACATATATTATTCTAATTTAAATAACAGTAAATAAATTTGATTGCTATGCATTTGTCCATTTAAGTGATCACTATAGTCTTTTTAAGTGTAGAATGTAGTTTTGACAACACATAAGATTGGTATTAAACAGTGAATTTATAAACAAATATCTTTCCACAGCCTATGAGCTATTCCTCGTCTTCACCAGGAACCTATGGTGGCATGATGGTTAGTAATAATTTAAATATGTAACTGCAAATTAGTTTTCAATTTTTGGTAGATTCCTAAGTTTTATTTTGTTGTAGCTACTTGAATATTACAGTATATCTTAGGTTTTTTAAATGTATAATCTAGGTGATGTATTTAGTCTATTTGACCCTGATTTGTGTTACTCAAATTTTAATAATCTGGCAGTCACCAAAGGCCCCATGTATAGGCACATTATATATTTCTTGCTAAGACTTACTCCCTAGTGTTGTTGTGGAGAGAGCAATAATTAATTGGTAAGCCTCTGCCAATTACAACCCTTGATAGCTTAGCAACTATGATCGCTGCTTTGTAGAATATTTTCTGAAAATAGTATTTAAAGTAAAATATTTTGAGGTTACAAATTAAAATATTCCCTGGTGTTGAGTTACCTTAATGCAGTGGTTGGGTTTGCAGTTTGTACCTATGAGTAGAAGGCCCTCTTTACTGGGAGAGGTGCCACTCTTCCCGTAGGCTTGCCTAAATAAGAACCCAGCATTGCATAAGTGGTGGGGATATGTCCCTTATTAAATTAAATTTGTTCACTCCCCTGGCCAGCGACTGGGAATGTTTTATCGACACAGATTGTGAACTGGGAAAAATAATGTTAAAGAGTTTTACTTGCATTATCATTATGATTTAGGTATACCTTTCATGCAGGTTACTTTCCAGAAAAACGGTGTTATATATTGAGAAAACAATCAGTGGAATGAACGACTTTTGGGGAAAATTGGGTTATTGTTCCATGACGCCTCAAAAAATCGCAGTTTTTTTTTTTAATTCTTAATTTGTCAATATTAATGAAGCTTTGACAGTTTATATTTTATTTATCATTTGTTCTTGTATAAATGTGTGGATAATTTCCATGTTGCCCTGCTAGGCCTAGTTGGAAGTAGTGAGGTTTAGATATTCAAATGAGAATACACAGTGGCATTCAGAGGTCTGGTGATGCCCAGGGCCAACTCCTTGATTGTATGCCCCAAAGACTTAAGTATGAGGCCTAGTACTGAGAAATATTCTGAGAAAGGGAGATATTTTGAATATGTAAACACAGATGAAACATGAAATGAACACTATTTGATTTCAATATAAATCAACCAGATTTATTAAGTTCTTTTTCCCAAATGATACCTCCTGTCAGAAAACACTTGAACTATTTCACTTTTTACATCAGCTGTGAGAAATTCTTTTTCAATGCTTATTGAAGCCAGGTTGGTCAGTCGCTCCTATGACATTGAAGACCTCAGATATGTTTTTATTAATTTCATTTTTGAAAATAACCTTTCACAACTTGCAACTGAAAATGCGATTGTAAGCAGTTGTCTGTATGAAACATACAGAGTTGGAAAGACATCCCTCCCATACTGCAGTAAGGACTCCAGAGCATCTTTAGCATCAGGGGAAATTCTATTCCCTCCAGCTCGAAGGAGCATCACAAAATCAATAATTTCGTCATATAACTGCAGGTAGTAGGTTGGTAGACAGCAACCACCCAGGGAAGTACTACCGTCCTGCCAGATGACTGTGAAACAGAAACCTGTAACTGTTTTGCATGATGGTAGGATTGCTGGTTTATTTTTCTGTCTCATAAACACACTAGATAACAGGGATATCTTGCTACTCCTACTTGCACTTTGGTCACACTTCACAGACACGCACATGCATGTATATATATACATACATCTAGGTTTTTTCTCCTTTTTCTAAATAGCTCTTGTTCTTCTTTATTTCTTCTGTTGTCCATGGGGAAGTGAAAAAGAATCTTTCCTCCGTAAGCCATGCGTGTCGTATGAGGCGACTAAAATGCCGGGAGCAATGGGCTAGTAACCCCTTCTCCTGTAGACATTTACTAAAAAAGAGAAGAAGAAAAGCTTTATAAAACTGGGATGCTTCAATGTGCGTGGATGTAGTGCGGATGACAAGAAACAGATGATTGCTGATGTTATGAATGAAAAGAAGTTGGATGTCCTGGCCGTAAGTGAAACAAAGCTGAAGGGGGTAGGGAAGTTTCGGTGGGAGGAAATAAATGGGATTAAATCTGGAGTATCTGAGAGAGTTAGAGCAAAGGAAGGGGTAGCAGTAATGGTGAAGGATCAGTTATGGAAGGAGAAAAGAGAATATGAATGTGTAAATTCAAGAATTATGTGGATTAAAGTAAAGGTTGGATGCGAGAAGTGGGTCATAATAAGCGTGTATGCACCTGGAGAAGAGAGGAATGTAGAGGAGAGAGAGAGATTATGGGAGATGTTAAGTGAATGTATAGGAGCCTTTGAACCAAGTGAGAGAGTAATTGTGGTAGGGGACCTGAATGCTAAAGTAGGAGAAACTTTTAGAGAGGGTGTGGTAGGTAAGTTTGGAGTGCCAGATGTAAATGATAATGGGAGCCCTTTGATTGAACTTTGTATAGAAAGGGGTTTAGTTATAGGTAATACATATTTTAAGAAAAAGAGGATAAATAAGTATACAAGATATGATGTAGGGCGAAATGACAGTAGTTTGTTGGATTATGTATTGGTAGATAAAAGACTGTTGAGTAGACTTCAGGATGTACATGTTTATAGAGGGGTCACAGATATATCAGATCACTTTCTAGTTGTAGCTACACTGAGAGTAAAAGGTAGATGGGATACAAGGAGAATAGAAGCATCAGGGAAGAGAGAGGTGAAGGTTTATAAACTAAAAGAGGAGGCAGTTAGGGTAAGATATAAACAGCTATTGGAGGATAGATGGGCTAATGAGAGCATAGGCAATGGGGTCGAAGAGGTATGGGGTAGGTTTAAAAATGTAGTGTTAGAGTGTTCAGCAGAAGTTTGTGGGTGCGGGAGGGAAGAGGAGCGATTGGTGGAATGATGATGTAAAGAGAGTAGTAAGGGAGAAAAAGTTAGCATATGAGAAGTTTTTACAAAGTAGAAATGATGCAAGGAGGAAAGAGTATATGGAGAAAAAGAGAGAGGTTAAGAGAGTGGTGAAGCAATGTAAAAAGAGAGCAAATGAGAGAACGGGTGAGATGTTATCAACAAATTTTGTTGAAAATAAGAAAAAGTTTTGGAGTGAGATTAACAAGTTAAGGAAGCCTAGAGAACAAATGGATTTGTCAGTTAAAAATAGGAGAGGAGAGTTATTAAATGGAGAGTTAGAGGTATTGGGAAGATGGAGGGAATATTTTGAGGAATTGTTAAATGTTGATGAAGATATGGAAGCTGTGATTTCGTGTATAGGGCAAGGAGGAATAACATCTTGTAGGAGTGAGGAAGAGCCAGTTGTGAGTGGGGGGGAAGTTCGTGAGGCAGTAGGTAAAATGAAAGGGGGTAAGGCAGCCGGGATTGATGGGATAAAGATAGAAATGTTAAAAGCAGGTGGGGATATAGTTTTGGAGTTGTTGGTGCAATTATTTAATAAATGTATGGAAGAGGGTAAGGTACCTAGGGATTGGCAGAGAGCATGCATAGTTCCTTTGTATAAAGGCAAAGGGGACAAAAGAGAGTGCAAAAATTATAGGGGGATAAGTCTGTTGAGTATACCTGGTAAAGTGTATGGTAGAGTTATTATTGAAAGAATTAAGAGTAAGATGGAGAATAGGAGAGCAGATGAACAAGGAGGCTTTAGGAAAGGTAGGGGGTGTGTGCACCAGGTGTTTACAGTGAAACATATAAGTGAACAGTATTTAGATAAGGCTAAAGAGGTCTTTGTGGCATTTATGGATTTGGAAAAGTCGTATGACAGGGTGGATAGGGGGGCAGTGTGGCAGATGTTGCAGGTGTATGGTGTAGGAGGTAGGTTACTGAAAGCAGTGAAGAGTTTTTACGAGGATAGTGAGGCTCAAGTTAGAGTATGTAGGAAAGAGGGAAATTATTTCCCAGTAAAAGTAGGCCTAAGACAAGGATGTGTGATGTCACTGTGGTTGTTTAATATATTTATAGATGGGGTTGTAAGATAAGTAAATGCGAGGGTCTTGGCAAGAGGCGTGGAGTTAAAAGATAAAGAATCACACATAAAGTGGGAGTTGTCACAGTTGCTCTTTGCTGATGACACTGTGCTCTTGGGAGATTCTGAAGAGAAGTTGCAGAGATTGGTGGATGAATTTGGTAGGGTGTGCAAAAGAAGAAAATTAAAAGTGAATACAGGAAAGAGTAAGGTTATGAGGATAACAAAAAGATTAGGTGATGAAAGATTGGATATCAGATTGGAGGGAGAGAGTATGGAGGAGGTGAATGTATTCAGATATTTGGGAGTGGACGTGTCAGCGGATGGGTCTATGAAAGATGAGGTGAATCATAGAATTGATGAGGGGAAAAGGGTGAGTGGTGCACTTAGGAGTCTGTGGAGACAAAGAACTTTGTCCTTGGAGGCAAAGAGGGGAATGTATGAGAGTATAGTTTTACCAACGCTCTTATATGGGTGTGAAGCATGGGTGATGAATGTTGCAGCGAGGAGAAGGCTGGAGGCAGTGGAGATGTCATGTCTGAGGGCAATGTGTGGTGTGAATATAATGTAGAGAATTCGTAGTTTGGAAGTTAGGAGGAGGTGCGGGATTACCAAAACTGTTGTCCAGAGGGCTGAGGAAGGGTTGTTGAGGTGGTTCGGACATGTAGAGAGAATGGAGCGAAACAGAATAACTTCAAGAGTGTATCAGTCTGTAGTGGAAGGAAGGCGGGGTAGGGGTCGGCCTAGGAAAGGTTGGAGGGAGGGGGTAAAGGAGGTTTTGTGTGCGAGGGGCTTGGACTTCCAGCAGGCATGCGTGAGCGTGTTTGATAGGAGTGAATGGAGACAAATGGTTTTTAATACTTGACGTGCTGTTGGAGTGTGAGCAAAGTAACATTTATGAAGGGGTTCAGGGAAACCGGCAGGCCGGACTTGAGTCCTGGAGATGGGAAGTACAGTGCCTGCACTCTGAAGGAAGGGTGTTAATGTTGCAGTTTAAAAACTGTAGTGTAAAGCACCCTTCTGGCAAGACAGTGATGGAGTGAATGATGGTGAAAGTT